GGGGTGGGAGGGGAGGGGGGCAGGGAAGAGAAGCAGGAGGTGGGGGAGGTGGCGGTCTGCAGGCTTTCTCCTCCTGCAGAGCCGGGGAGCCTGGAACAAAATCCCAGCATCCCCCACCCTCCCCACCAGGGGCTGGATCAGATCAGGTTGTGAGGGGTTTGCTGACTGGGGCTCCCGCCCACAGCTGTCTGAGGTGGAACCAACTGAATTCACTCTGCTTTTAATTAATTATGGCCCTAAATGACTTACCGTATAGCACAGGGAACTCAATATTTTATAATAACCCATAAGGGAAAAGAATCTGAAAAAGAATGTGTGTGCGTGTGTCTGTAACTGAATCAAGGGTTGTACACCTGAAATTAACATGAGGTGGTAATACAACTGTACTTCAACTTGAAAAAAATTAATTATGGCCCTGGGCAGGCTCTGAACAAGACTACATCAGCTCTACCATCATTGGCAGCTGCTCCGGAGCAGTGTAACAAATTCAAAAGCCTCGGGGTGGTGGGGTGGGGGGGTCCTGGTGCAACCACCCTCCCCCAAAAGGCATTACAGAGGTTGATGTTTGTACATAAGAACACACCACTAAAAAAAAAAAATACCACTAACAGAAACTCTGAACTGCCAAGGAGGATTTTGTGTGTGCTTTTGTATTGTTCTACTCTTTTACGAGAACACATCCCAAGAGATTTTTTATAACTTTAAAAAATCAGTACAGAAAGAATAAAAAATGCTGCTGTGCATTTTAGTTCAGGCTGTGACGGGCCTGCCCCGGGGCTGCGGTTGGCTGAAATGGATACCTCAGGGCTAGGTAGGCCTTACTCAAGGAACATATTCACAGACAGATGACCAGCGGCAAATGGAAGGGAGCTGGCGCTCATCTGTAGTGACTGCTGGCACCTGAAGGAGTCCCAGCCTGTCTGGAGACCCCCACATCCCTGGCCAGAGGGCACATGGGCACCCTCACTCCTGGGAACAGGAGGCTGCATCAGGGACCATGAGTCATCACGACAGACAAGACCATCCCCTCGACTCTGCACCAGTCAAGTCCCGGAGCCTGTGTGTGTGTTGGGGGGTCTTTCTGTGACCTGACCCAAGGGCCAGCCAGCATCCAGACTCTGCAGCAGGGGTTCCCAGCCTCTAGAATCTAACGTCCGATGATCTGAGGTGGAGCTCAGGTAATGAGAATAAAAATGAAGTACACAACAAATGTTAAATTCTTGAATCATCCTGAAAGTGCAAAAACTCTTCCACAAAACTGGTCTCTGGTTTCAAAAAGGTGGGGAACCGCTGCTCTAGAGGGCTGCAGACATGACAGCTGACTGATCTGACCTGCTCAGGGAAGCCGAGGGGACCCTCCTGGTCTAGCTGGGGCCCCCTGGGCTCAAGGGTAAAGAAGAAGTCACCAAGCGTGGGACCAGCCTCAGCTCCCAAACCTCAGGGGCCATATTTCCCAAGGCCTGAAAAGGTCCCCCAGCCCCCACGACCCACCCCGCAATGGGTAGGCCATCTAATCAATGATTCCCCAGACCCTTGGCCTTCTCAACCACTCCATGGTTTAATAAGGGATGTTGGATGGGCCTGGAGAAGCTCTTGACAACAGTCCCTCTGGGAAACTAAGATGTTCCCAGAGAATTCGCAGAGCCACAAAAGGCAGATTTACAAATCACTCTACCATACAACCACTGTCCAGGTGGCACTAGTGGTAAAGAACCTGCCTGCCAATGCAGGAGACATAAACGACGTGGGTTCGATTCCTGGCTCTGGGAGATCCTCTGGAGGAGATCGACAATACAGCTGACCACATGGATTATGTGATCAGATTTCAGCCAACCACGGGTCAGGCTCCTTTCTCAAAGTTCAGGGTGAATAGAGGCCCACCCTCACTGGTCGAAGTTATCTTTAGAGGGGATTTTTTTTTCCCTCATTCAGCCTAACTGCCCCTTCTGTTCTACGAGGAATATTCATGTACCCTCAGAGTCCATACAGGAGAGGAAACTTGGAATAGGAATTCATGGTACCCGGGAAAACCAGCGGGGATGTAGTGACCGCTTCTTATTATCTAAGTAGAGGCCGCCAACGAGGGGCCCACTGACCTATGCATCTTATTTGACATCAGTGTTTCACTTTAGTTGGTTTGCTAACATTTAAAATGAGAGAGAGACATAAGAATTCATATTTGATTTCCAGCGTCTCTTGTAAAATGGAAGCCCTGGTGCACTGGCCCAGTGGGCAGAGAGGGCACAGAGAGAGGCAGCCCAGCCCCCAAGTCCACAGGCTGGATATTCACTAATTTTCTGGGTTTCTCTTGGAAAGTGTTTTTAAAAAATCTTACTTGAAATACTCTTCACTCCCACTGACAAACGTCTTATTGGCCTGGCTGGTGAAGTTAACCATTGTCAAGTTGGGATAGGCGGTCATGCAGAAAGTTGAGTTCTTGATCTGTATTTTGGGATGGTCATTGATCACACAGGAATCTGTTCAGGAGAGGATAGAATGAAAACACAGTGAAATCTGTACAGAAAATAGACACTTGTCCTCCCAGCAACTTAAAGACAAAAGCTAAAATATTTCCTCAATATTGAACAGTCACTTTTGGGAAGGTATTAACTGAGCAAAGCTGGATGCAGATGAACCCCAAAATTGTGTGTTACTCAACCCGGAACCCCTGGTACCCTCTTCAACCGTGCCTGCTCCTGGTAACAACAGCTCTGCTTTCTGGAGCGCTCTCTCTACATGTGAAGCACTTTACATGCGTTACCTACCCTGAGGCTCACAGCAGCCTAGGCTGTGGGTACCACTGCCTCCATCTTTAAGATGAGGAAAAAGGCTCAAAGTAAGGTTATTAGGTGATTCTACCAAAATCGTACAGCTAACGAGAAAGAGAAGCAGGATTCAAACCCAGATCCTTATGATTCCACAAAGAATAAACGGCTTGGGGAAATGAATTTTAATCAGGCATCAGCAAAAATGAAGGGCTACAGCCAGAGAAGACTCACTAATAAGCTCACCCTGAACCCACTGTTTGGCATGACGGCCAACACACAGAGGTCCCCTAAGTACGCGGGCCACGTGCTTTCAGCACAAAGACGTGAGCTCAGGAGCCTGCAACCTGGCTTCCCAGCTGGGGACGAATTTGTCCACAAGGGGGCACCTGGCAATGTCTGAGGACACAGCTGTCCTGTTCAGGGAACAGGGGGCTCCTGGAGTCTAGTGGGCAGAGGCCGGGGATCCTGCTAAACATCCGACAGTGCACAGGATAACCCCCATGACAGAGAATTATCCAGCCCCACATGTCAACAGTGCAGAGGCTGAGAATGCCTGACCTAGGCTGGGGTGGGGCTGGGGAACTAACCAGATGAGTCAGTGTGTCTGGCACCTTGCTGGAAGCTTTGCCAATTATTATCTCATAAAAGCCTCCGAAAACCTGGGAGGTGCCTATTATTATCCTCATTTTAAACAGGAAGAAACTGAAGTCTTTGTGATCACGTTACAATGTCTCTATGATCCCTCGATTGATAGTTTAGATAAACAGTCCACCAGGATTAATGCCAAAGGATATTTAATGTATAAAGACATGAAAGTAACACTAACAACAATAACTAACACTTAAACAGCACTTACCATGTACTGTTTTAAATGTCTTACATGTCTTAAATGTCCTGACTAATTTGCCTCACACCTGCAAATAAAGAAACTGGGCACAGAGAAGTGCAGCTGCTTGCCAAGGTCACACAGCAGAATCAGGAGGCAAACACTCACTCTCTCTTTGGAGGCCATGCTCTGAACCACTCTCCTGGGAAGCACAGAGCAGGGAACATAAACTCAAACACCTTCAAGAGTCAGGCTGGTGACACAAATGAGAAAGATATAAAACGGAGGGTAAAAAGTTATGATAAACAGAAAGGATGACAGAGGATGAGATGGTTGGACGGCATCACCGACTCAACTGACATGAGTCTGAGTAAACTCCGGGAGTTGGTGATGGACAGGGAGGCCTGGCGTGCTACAGTCCATCGGTTCTCAAAGGGTCAGACATGACTGAGCGACTGAACTGAACTGATCTGAAACAGAGAGTATGATGTTCCCTCTGTATCTGCAGATTTAATATCCTTGGATTCAACCAACTGCAGACTGAAATTTCAATGGAGGTTGGCTGGATACTGTTTTCATTGTCTACACCATTTTACACACTGCACTGGAACACCTGCAGACTTTGGTATCCGAAAGGGCTCTGGAACCAATCCCATGAATGTCGAGAGATGATTGCACCAGCCAATCCTGCCACGCTTTCCCAGGTGTTCTGATCAAAGATGCAGAAAACCTGCATATTTACATGAAGTCTCTCCATTTTAAAATATTGGAAATAAGGCCAAATTATCTTTAAACACCGTGGACCAAACAAACAAAAAACATGCAGCCTAGATCTGGTGCATGGATTCCAAATGTATGTCCTCCATGGAACAGCAAAGTGGGTAAACCTGCGGGTTCAGGGATTTCACTAGCTCTGAGAGCTTGGACAAGTTCCTTTATCTGTCCAAGCCTTCGTTTTTCTGATCCTAAAGTGTCTAGTTTGAAGGCTGTTCTAAGAACCAAATTAAGGGAGATAGATCATGAATGAAACCATCTCACGCAACACCTAGCACATAGCTGAACTCGGTAAAATTTAGCCATAATGCAAATGGCATTGTTACATCTTTTCATGGGATGAGCATCTCTGACCCTCAAGATCATCTCTCAATTCCACTTGCCAGCCATAAAGTATCTAATGCCTCCCACACAACCTCTCCAGAATATCTGAGAAGGCGGAATAAAATTTAAAGCTGTGATAATAAGAACCCCTTACCTCTGATTGGTTCCTTAAACGACAGGTTTTCTAAACAGCGGTACTACTGACACTTGGGATCAGAAAATTCTCTGTGGTGAGGAGGCTGTCCTGAGCATCGCAGGGTATTATATTAGCAACATCGCTGGCCTCTGCCCACTAGATGTCAGGAACATTTATCTTCCCCCTACCCCACTTGTGACCAAAAATGTCTGTGAACATTGCAAAATGCCTCCTGCAATATCTCTGGAGTTTGAGAAGCACCACTTAGAGAGTTCTCAAAAAACCTGCTTACTCAATATTATCTTCTTTAATCAAATAACAGTTTCAGGGGGATTCTGAGCTCAAAACTATCAACTATTTACCAAGGAAGCATTTGTTTCCCCCAGTGGGGACCAGGTTGAAGGCAATTAAAGCAACACCCATGTCCCTTTTCCCTAAAGAAGCACAGAAGTTATTTCCAGCCCTCCTGCCAAAAATTCCAGCCCTCTATGATGGAAGAGATCGCTAACACACGGGCAAACTTCAAATCGCTTGCTTCCAAACCTGCCACAGGGAAACACGTGGGCAGCTTCCCTAGCGCGCGTCTCTGGGCGTGTCTGGATTACCACTCACCGCCGCAGCGCAAGGTCACAGCGTCCCTGCGGCACTGCGGACCGCTGCGATATCCCTTCCCACCACTGGGCGGCAGGAGCGCGCTTCCCAGCGCACTGCGCCTTCAGGTCCGCCCGCAAAGGAACGCCGGGCCCTGCCGCCAGCCGGCTCTGCGGCCCAGCAACCCTGAACAAAGAACCGCGATAAGGGTCGCGCTGAACTGGAAGCGGTGGGAAGGATTCTCTTTACTTGGGCAATCAGGAATAAATGAGAGCACACGAAAGACTAGGTAGGAAAGGAATCGTTGAATTAAAGTTCTAATGCAAATTAAGCCATTCCAGAAATAGAAATGGTGTTTGTGCAATTCCCATTTTAGGTAACCCAGCTAGCTCCTGATTTCAAAAAGCAGTCTCTGGTCTCACTCAGCAGGACATGGATTAGCCCTTCAACATTACAACTACCCAGAGGGTTGAATGTCCTTAAGGATAGCAGCCTCTCTCACAATCTACACCTTAGAAATGTGTGGCAAGCTCTACCAGTGGACTGAGCCGGGGCAGGTACAGCATCCTGGCATCTGAGTGATGAGGGGGGTCCCCGGCGGTGTGTCCCTAGCAGAGCTCAGAGGCCGTGGGGTAAAACCCTTCCTGCTGTAAGTGAAGGTCACAATGGCCAGGGAATCTATCCTGCTCTCCTGGGACCAGCTGCCGCTATCACAGGATAGGGTGGCTATGGGGTTATAAGGGGGTGGATGAGCTTGGGAGGTCATTTGTGGAACACTGCATTAGGGGAGGGAGTTTTTCCACTTCCTAAATGAGGACAGCAAAGCCTGGCATGCTGCCGCCCATGGGGTTGCAAAGAGACCAATACGACTTAGTGACGAACAACAAAAACAAGCCTCTCTCAGAATGACCATTTGGGAGGCAGCCTGGGACATCATTGTCTGGACTCCCTTTATTTTATTTTTTTGGTGACACCATGCAGCATGCAGCATCTTAGATCCCTGATCAGGGATCGAACCTGTGCCCCCTGCATTAGGAACATGGTGTCTTAGCCAATGGATCAGCACAGAAGTCTTTGAACTCCCATCTTGTCCAGCGGAAAAATGAGGCTACAAAGCTGACTATGTCTCTGCAAGTCATCCCCTTTTCTAAGTCACTTTAGGACCCCACAGGGTCAATACTTATAAAAAGGATAGCCTGGCCCTGGTCATGGAAAACAGACAAGTTTACAAAACCCAGCAAAGAACAGATGGAGGGGTTCCACTGAGAGAGGGGAAATTGGGACCTCCACTTTAAACAAACAAAAAATTTTAAACTACCAGCTAAGAATGAGATAAGATCCCCCGAGCCTATCCGCATGCTTCCAGGGAATAGAATGCAAAATGTCCATTTCTCTCTCTGCTCAGAGCTTGCATCATTTTTATGGTTTGACACATAAGGTAAAGTGCTTTGCTGTAATAATATCTTCACTCTTCCTTTCATGTTCCCTGGGATATTATGAGCCAGAAAAAAAAATTCCACAAAACCAGCAAGGCCTGCACCCACATGCCTGGTCCAGTCATTGTGTTCAGGTTGCTGTAAAAATACACACACACTATATATAAATGTACATGTATACATATACATATACATTCTCCAACCATAAAATAAATAGAAAATCCCTGGTAGAAAATCTAGGGAAAGGGGAAAAAAAGATTGGCTCCAAATCTACCAGGTAATATGCTGTGTGTCACTTTCCTATATGTTTTCTAGCGAGCACATTATTGTTAGTAAAAACAAAATTATACTATAAATCTGTACCCTGCTTTTACATTTAACATGATGTGCTGACGATATCCCTATGTTTTATGAATATTCATTTTTAAAGACAATGAAGTATTCTTTAGTCTTTAAAAATGCACTGTTATTTGAACCATGGAATTATTGAATTTTTGTTACATATCTAAGCATTCCCCGTGTAGGCTATAAATGTGACTACAATGAACAATCTTGAATAGTCCTTACCTGTGTCTTTGATTTTCCCTTAACCGTAGATCCCCAGAAGTGGTATGACTGAGTCAAAACAACTGTTCAAATGAGCTTTCTTTTAAACCCCATAGAATCTCAGCTATAAACACCTGGGCAGATGTCACTCTGCTAAGGCTGACAGAATAAAGCCTTCAGGAGCCCTGGATGAGCAGAGAATTGGGGTCATTGAGACCCTAATTCTGGTGCTGGCTCTACCTAGAGATGAGGGACTGGATACTTCCACCCTCTGAGGCTTAAGAGTCCACTTTGTCACCTGCAAAATAGTGACCACGTCATCTGCCTCTTCGGACTCATAGGGTTCTTATTAGGAATAGCAGAGACATCATTTATGAAGCTGCTGTGTAGGCTAGGCAATGGTAAGACCATGGCCTTGGGAGGCAGGCAAACTTGTGATCAAATCCTAGGTCTACCACAGAGCTAGTTTTATGAACTTGAGCTCTAGATTTTTTACCTTTAAAATGGAAATAACAATTAAACCCATATGTTGGCTTGTTGTCCATCCTAACATTGGTAATATGAATTTTTAAAGAGTTTAACATGGTAAGTGATGCTTGCTATTACTGTTAGGGCTTACTGTGTTGCATAAATACTAGTGGATATTGTTAGCAGAATGAACAGTGTTTCTGAACTACCATCCCTCCCAAGGGACAGATGCAAGACACCGATCACCATGACCCAAGAAGGCCCTGGTGGAAGTACCCAGGGAAGCTTCCCTGGAGGCTGGATCAAGGCAACAGCCTTCCCTGAGCAGGCGCGCCCTCAGAAAGTGACTTCTGTCCCAGACACAATCCTGGATGGATAGTCCAGGCACTGGGATAACTTGAGGCTTTTCTTCATTCCAGACCCCACATCCTGGACAATGCACTTTGCCAAAGTAGCAGCCAGTTTCAGGAATCCATTCCAGCAGCTGATTGTCAGTGGTGAATCTGCGAACAGCTAGCTTACTGAGTGGGGTTCTCTCAGCGGCTTTGCAAAGGTGGCTCTGAGCCGGTAGGGAAAACAGGGCAAGAAGGTGGGCACTCCATTCCAAACGTGGTTAAGGGCAGACCAAGGGCTGTGGGCAAGCACCAGCCTGGTGGTTCCTACTCCTGGGTGCATCTGGAGAACTGTAAAAATACAGTTTTACAGAGTACTAGGCTTCATCCCCGGAGAGTCCAATTTACTTGGTCTGGGCTCAACTCTAAGTGATGTCCTGATTTGCTAGTTCCCAGGGGATTCCCATGTGTAACAGCTTGGGTCGAGAACCACTGCTCCTAACTTTAGAGTTCATCCATATGGAGACTGTAAAGATGAAGGCACTGAAGCCCAGGGTCTAGAGGGGCCCTTGCCCCTGCTCATTCCGCTGGTGAGCCCCACACCAACTGTTGTTCAGTTGCTAAGTAGTGTCAGTCTCTTTGGGACCCCATGGACTGCATCATGCCAGGCTTCCCTGTACTTCACTCTTTCTCCGAGTTTGTTCAAATTCATGTCCATGAATGTCCCCACTCCAGGGAATCCCTCAGATCCTCATTCTGAGCACGTCAGGTGCCCTGGGTTTGAATTTGATGAGCAAGTGTCTCCAGTGTCAGCTCTCTGGCAATCTCATCCAAAGGGCCGCCAGGCGGAGGCGGGATGTGTTGTGTGTGCCCACGCACAGGTGTGTAAAAGTACTCCAGTGTGAGTTCCCACCTTTAGGAACATGCATCTCTTGGGGGTGGGGGAGGTGTGAGGGATGGGTCATCTTTCTCTCTTACACACTCAAAGCGTGTAAGTAACTTCCTTGTTCGGCAGCGTGCAGGCTGTCCAGGCAAACGAGCTGGGCTGGCGGACCGACACTAAGACACAGTGGTTAAGGGCAGACCAAGGGCTGTGGGCAAGCACCAGCCTGGTGGTTCCTACTCCTGGGTGCATCTGGAGAACTGTAAAAATACAGTTTTACAGAGTACTAGGCTTCATCCCCGGAGAGTCCAATTTACTTGGTCTGGGCTCAACTCTAAGTGATGTCCTGATTTGCTAGTTCCCAGGGGATTCCCATGTGTAACAGCTTGGGTTGAGAACCACTGCTCCTAACTTTAGAGTTCATCCATATGGAGACTGTAAAGATGAAGGCACTGAAGCCCAGGGTCTAGAGGGGTCCTTGCCCCTGCTCATTCCACTGGTGAGCCCCACACCAGCTGTTGTTCAGTTGCTAAGTAGTGTCAGTCTCTTTGGGACCCCATGGACTGCATCATGCCAGGCTTCCCTGTACTTCACTCTTTCTCCGAGTTTGTTCAAATTCATGTCCATGAATGTCCCCACTCCAGGGAATCCCTCAGATCCTCATTCTGAGCACGTCAGGTGCCCTGGGTTTGAATTTGATGAGCAAGTGTCTCCAGTGTCAGCTCTCTGGCAATCTCATCCAAAGGGCCGCCAGGCGGAGGCGGGATGTGTTGTGTGTGCCCACGCACAGGTGTGTAAAAGTACTCCAGTGTGAGTTCCCACCTTTAGGAACATGCATCTCTTGGGGGTGGGGGAGGTGTGAGGGATGGGTCATCTTTCTCTCTTACACACTCAAAGCGTGTAAGTAACTTCCTTGTTCGGCAGCGTGCAGGCTGTCCAGGCAAACGAGCTGGGCTGGCGGACCGACACTAAGACACACAGGATTCTGACTGCTTAAAGGGAATAACAGACGTGTTGGGGAAAGAAGAAACTGCGTGCTGACTGGTGTTCACGAGAACGATCGGCACTGTCAAAGGCATCTGGTTCTAGCACCTTCTATTTGTGGCTTCCCAACTAGGACCACATCCTCCAATTTTCTCCTTACAGCAATCCCGTGTGGTAAGCAGATGAAGAATGTTGTTAGCATTTCTATTTTTCAAATGAGAAAAACTGAGACCCAGAGAGAAGTTACCCGACGCAAACGCATGTACCACCAGGGGCAAAACACCTCACATACCAGTAGCCTTGCCAGCCACTCTGCCCCACCCCTCCTCACTGCCACCCTTTTGCCCTTGACCTAGCAAGGTGACAGTTCCCCCAAGCCCCAAAGTATTTCAGGTCTGAACCAGTGTTCCCCAGGAACATGCCCTGCCTCCCCAGACAGCCTTCCCTCTTCTAGGCACTTCGTTATGTTCCTATCAGAGGCCTGTAGGTCAAGCATCTGTTCTCATGTGTTTGCCCCATGCTCTGGGCAGCATTCTGAGAAGTGTGGACCCAGGCTCGCATGCCTCACTCTCCTAGACTCCAGAATAGGAGTTTTTTTACAGACTAGGAGTTTTTTACAGACAGTACCATGTGCAGGAGTCACCTGGGGACCCGACCCTAGCGAAATCTAGTAAGTCAGATTACTTGGTGGGACTTGCAGTTCTACATTTTCAACAAACACTCCAACTATTCATGAGCAAACAAAAATTTGATTACCCCGCCTAGGCCACGAGTTTCTTAAACATTAGAACTAACTATATTCGAGATGGGTTTTCACCTCTGTACCCCCAGCATCTAGTATAGAACCTGACAAACGTCATAGGTGCTCAGTTCATCCTCACTGAATGAATGAATGAATGAACAATAAGCCTGGTGCAGGTATATCCAAACTTACCTAGTAAAAGTTTGGTTTTGTCTTTGCATTCTGGCGTGTTCCAAGGGTTGTTGCAGGAGCCCCAGGGCAGCACAGACACAAAGGAGGCAAACAGGTAGAAAAGTGTGTAGCAAATAATCACATTGTAGTATATGGCTATTAGGACGGAGATGATCAGCATTGCGATGCCACAGCCTGTGGAAGCAAAAGTTTCAGGGATTCGTTTCCTCCAGAACCTGTGGAATCTTTATGGTTGGGTGCAGGGCAGGGAAATGTAGGTGCTGGCTCCCTCTTACAGATGGACACATTAACAGTGGAATAGACTCTGTGTCTACCAGGGACATCGAGACATTCTGCCAGGAACACAGTGATGCCAGAGATGATCTTGGGCCCCAGTGGCGAAACTGATCACATAGAGAAGGAAGGAATGGGTTCTCCCAATTACAGAAGCAGGTCTCACTCCCTGGGGCCATTTGGTGCCAGAGAGGGCAAGGAAGGACTGAGGCAGCTGGGAAGCAGGGAGCACTCACCTTGCAGGGCTGGGATGGCCTTCCACACAGACACCGGCCCCTGGCTGGCAAACTGGCCCAGGGACACTTCTAGGAAGAAGATGGGCAACCCTGCCAGAGCCAGCATCATCAGGTAAGGGATGAGGAAAGCACCTTGGAAAGAGAGAGTGGGAGATGAGTGCTCAGAGAGGCCCAGGCAGGCAGGCTCCATCCTCCCCCTCGGGGAGCTTGCCTTCTCCAGGAAGCTTTTGATATTCCAGCTCAACCACCAGCACCCAGGGACATACAGGAGCCATCCTCTACACAATGCCAGGATACCCTGCAACCACACTACTTTTTCAATTCCCCATTGGATGGATCGTTGGGGGTTGCAGGCTGAGTGGACTTTATTCTTTTGTTTTAGTACTTCAGCATCTCCAAATTAAGCCCTTCCTTCCAATGTTCAACAAATCCACACTTCTGATTACTACAGGACTCAGATTCAGTTAAATCTCATTGGGATCTCCGCCCTCCAAATCTGCTAAGCTAGACTGCAGGGGCCCTCAACTTGAGTTACTTGCACACCTTCTACCAACCAGATGGGTGGTGGGGACATCCTTCCCCCTCTACCTCAGCCTTCACACAGGTCTCAACTTCCTCCTCCATGTGAGAAGTCCCTTCCATCCTTCAAGGTCAACTCAAATGCCTCCTCCCCCAGGAAGTCTCACTTCTCTACCCTCCCATTTAACCTCCCCTCCCAACACCAGGTACTTGGCAATATTTATGTGGATGTCTTATCTAGACTGCGGGCTTCCGATGCTGTTGATCCTTCCTCTCTGTTCTCTAGAACACCCAGGCCAGGGCTCCAGGAGCTAGCAGGTCTCCAGAGACTGGCTGAGGGTTCCTGGGGGTCTTCATCCTCCAGGATTCTTTGGGGTTGTTTGGTAGGAGCTTGGGGACTAGCCATGATCTTTGAAAAGGTTTGGACCAGGGAGGGCTGTTGCACAGTCAGAACCAATTTGGGGACTCATGACACCAGAGCCCAGAACACTGGGCTTCACAGAAGGAAAGCTGATCTTTCTCTTGTCAGTTCCTCCTGCTGGAAGGGCCTTTCCTGTCAGGGTCCCTCCAGAGGAGGAAGGCCAGGGACTGCTGGGGAGTAAAACCAGGGCTCTTGCTTTATCCTCTCCTGAATGGGTTTTTGAGAAAGACGTGGATCATGCAACCCTTCTCTTTTGTTCCCGGGAGGGAGGAAGCAAGCGAGCCCTCCATCCCCTCCCCTCCATCCCCTTGAAGGGGCTGGAGCCACAGTGATTGCAGAAAAGTTTGCCTTCATTCCTGGTGGCCGGATTCAACTCCCTAAGCAGCATGAGTTTTTCTCAGGTCATGTTTTTTCTGAGATCTTTGTATTTCTCAGATCGCGGGCGAGGAAAGCTCAGGCCCTTCTCACTCATCCAGGTCTGGCTGCAAAGCTGCCCTGCTCCCTGGACTGGAACTCTCTCCCTCACCCACCCTGGCTGTCCGCCCCCTTTTCTGGCACTGGAAGCTTTATCACAGCACCCTGGTCTGGGGACTCCCTGCAGAGAACCGAGAGAGCACAAGCCCCAGCCGCTCTGCGCGCCCACCTCCTGGCTCGCCTGCATTCTGTCCTCTGCACGACCCAAGTGCCCGGCAGGCTCAGATTTCCAGGCTACTGTCTTACCACATATTTAATTCAATGTCCAGGGCAGCACAGCTCCTGGCTCTAAAACTATTCATGTGCAAGGAGGGCATCGGAATAACTTGTACCGAAATAACTTGTGGGCTAAATTAGGATTTGAACTCGCCTGCATCAGTGTTCCCCTGAATCAGGACCCGGCCTCCCAAGTGGACAATGTGGCCTGCGGGAACCCATCTCTCCCCTGAGCGCGATCTGCAGATAAAAGCCTCCTGAATCTAGCACCAACCAGGTATGGTAGCTCCTGCTCTCGGCTTCCCACGGATGCCTACAGGGGATGGAGCTGGAGTGTGAAGGGCCTGCCCTGAGCCTCGTTTCTCAGCCCGAGTCCCCAGATTCTGCATCCCCTGCTCCAGGTCCCCCGCCAACCCACAAGCGCCCGCCCTGCCGCAGCGGAAAGAGCTGAAAAGCCATACCTCCCCCGTTCTGGAAGGCCAGGTAGGGAAACCTCCAGACATTGCCCAGCCCCACTGCGTACCCCACCATGGACAGGATGAAGTCCAGTTTGCTGGACCAGTTCCCTCGGGCCTTATTCTCATCCCCTTGCTCGTCCTCCTGGGGGCGGAAAAGCACATTGTCGGATCACAGCCCTAGGTAGGTCGGCAGGCAGGCCCCATTCCGCCCCTCCTCCACTCCCCCCCACAAAGCTGAGGGTCCTTCCCAGCAAGCAGGCCCCCACTTTTCACATGAGGATGCATCGGCAGGCAGGGCCCTGACCCCTCAACCCTGCACGCTTTCAGCAGGCAGGCTCCCAATTCTGATGTGAAGATCCATCTTCAAGAGACTCTTGAACCCCCTCTTTTCCCAAATCCCGCAGTCAAGTCACACCAGCAAGCAGCTTTCCCCAAACCTTGGACCTGTAGGTTGATTGCAAGCAGATCCCGCCATCCCCAACCCCTGACCAAGAGTTCCTTTGGCAAGCAGGCCCCAATATCATGCCTAGGGTCCCCAGCAAGCAGGTTCCTAAACATCCCCTACCTCCCAAGATTCCTCAACACACCCCTTTCTCTCTCTCTCT